GATTTAAAAAAAAAAAAAAACTCCTGCTGATGCTTTTAAAGCAAAATGCTTTTAAAGTCCTTAATGTTTTTGGTTTAATAGCTTCATTAATTGCTTTAGCCTGTTAGTTTTCAATTTCCGTTTATCACAGTACACAACAATCTGCTTTTATTAATTGATAGCAACCAATTCCGTACTTCTAAGGTCATTTGCATGAGTTATTTTGTTAAAAGGCACCAATTATAAATATTGTATATAAGAAAATATCTGTTTTCTATTTTATTATATTTTACTGGTTAATTTATTCCTGTGATGACAAAGCTGAATTTTCAGCATCATTACTCCAGTCTTCAGTGTCACATGATCCTTCAGAAGCCATTCTAATATGATGATTTAATGATCAACATTTTTTTTCAAGATTGTTTAATGAATAAAAATCTCAAGAACAGCATTTATGTGAATTAAACATGATTTGTAACATCAGGGTTATTAATAGTTAGGTTATTATTGTTAACTTAAACTTAAACCAGAAAACATTTCTTTACTTGAAATTAAATTAAATTAAATGAAATTAAATAGTTTTATTTCAGCTAGTTGCAAAGGCAACATTTCTCATTTTCATTTAGTTTAACTTGATGTGCTAAAATAATTCAAACTAAAACTTGAATAAAATCTATATGGACATAATAAATAGCTAAAACAGGGCTCCAGACTGCGACTAAAATGGTCGCATATGCGACCAAAAATATTAATATGCGAGTGAAGATTTGGTTAGGTCGCGACTGGTGACTATATATATTTACATGTTATGACTTAAAAAATTTACATTTAATGCCTTTTTTCCTGATTGTTTTGCGATCACATCATTTGCTATGTTCATGTATTAAACTGAGACGATGCACATCAAAGTTTTAGTGGAAAAAAGAGTTTCAAACAGTCCTTATCTCTGCTGAACAGCAGCGCTGACGCACACCTGTTAAACGCAGCTCAGTTGTGCAGCACGAGAGAGATCGAAATGACGTAGACGTGCAAATAAAAGTGTAGAAAAGCAGAGTATATTTCGTGCACAACTTCCAATAATCGCAAAATGCTTTGTTACTTTTGAATAAACAAAGTATCAGCTTTAAAATTATGCCAAATTCATACCACACCTGTTAAACGCAGCTCAGTTGTGCAGCACGAGAGAGATCGAAATGACGTAGACGTGCAAATAAAAGTGTGGAAAAGTAGAGTATATTTCGTGCACAACTTCCAATAATCGCAAAATGCTTTGTTACTTTTTAATAAACAAAGTATCAGCCTTCTCCTATACAAAATTGCATTTTACTAATGAAGAAAAACAAGACTGAATGTGTGAAAGACATATGACAACACTTATAGGATGCACTGAGGAGGAGCCCAAACTACACTCAGTGGTCAAGTGATGCTTATGGTCCATGACAGTGGTACAGATTCTGTGTCATGAACAATTCTTTGTGACTATATATTTCAAGTTGGAAAAGACGTTTAATTCCCACTTTAAGTGAATCTTAGTTCCCAGGTCATCTACAAGATCGATTAAAATGCTGATAAATTCAAGAAAAGATGAGACATAATCACATGAAAGTATGGTTGTTAAATGTTAAAAAATAATAATAAAATAAATAAAACTCGTTTATTCTGTGGCACGTAAAAAAATTATTTGGCGCCTAAAATTTTTTCTTATAGGAGCCAATGGCTTCTTACTCGATTGTTTTGTTTGGAGCCCTGCTAAAAGATATACTAAAATAACACTAATATACACTAAAATAACGCTTTAATATAATAAATATTTTAATGCCACTTTAGATCAATTGAATGCATTCTTGCAGAATAAAAATATTAATTTATTTTAAAAAATAGTATTATCTGACCCCATACTTTTAAATGTAGTGTTCAAAATGGTATTTAATTATTTCATTTATTTTTCTATTTATTTTTCTATTGATTATTATTAATTTAATTTAATTACTATGTACAGTATACACCAATCTGCATCTTTGATAGCATGTTATAATGCACTGTAAAAATTATTTTTCGAAGTTGAAAATAAAACAAGATTATTGGGAGTACGTTTTACAAGAAAATTCTTCTTGCCGTTTCTTTGTAATTTTAGTGAAATTTACTAGTAATTTATTTTTTTATTTTTTTTATTGGAATATACAAAATACAATGAAAGAGCAATATTAATAAATCTATACATTCCTTTTTTCTATTAACAACTACTAAGGGTGGACACAAACATAAACAGTCACAACCCTCAGTAAACCCAAACCCCACCCATCCCAAAGGAGGAGAATAAAACTTGAGTACATTTTCAAAAAAAATAAAAATAAATAAAATTACAAAAAAATTGACAATTATACAGAATTAAATATAACAGAAAAAATGAACAAGAGACTACACAGAACAATTAAAATTTAATTAACAATTAAAAATACATATTACAAATCAGTAAATATAAGTGGTGTATTTTTGACAAAGTCAAGTAGAGGACCCCAGTTTTTATCAAATTTGTCAGTGGAACCTCTTAAAGCAAACT